CAGCAGTGGCTCTGCTTGTTTGGAGAGGTAGACCAACATGAAAGTAGTAGCAAGTCCACTGAAAGCAGTAAGGGAAACTTTGGTAGAGTCAGGGTTTATTTCTTCTTCCTTTGTGAACTGTATCTGGAACACACTAAGCACTAAATATTAAATGAATATGTCTGCATTTTTGTTTATACCATGATAGAATAATACCCTGTACCTCTCTGATGCACACATTTACATACACATATAAATGGAAATTACTTATGTGGCTTTCCCTCCAATCATATGATTCAAAATAATTATATCTCGATTTTGTTCATTAAGAATGTTGAGAAAATATGCACTTCTTCCCGTAGATAAAGTAGGTCCAGGGATAGAATAAATCATTGTGGCATTGATGATTTTGCACAAAAATCTCCTTCAGATGAAAGTTGGGCAGAGCAAAACTCATGAACTAGAAGTATGGTCTATGCTTGCAGTAGCTTTCAGGATCCTGAGTTTTTCAAGAATAGCCAGATAGGATTGCTGGGCTTAGACTCCTCCAATCACTCTTGGTGGCATCTTTAAACAACTGACAGAATTAGAAACAGTGCATGACTATTAAAGTCCAGAGATCACTCAAACCAAATTAAAAAATAGAAATAAAAAAGAACTCACTATAAAAACGTACAGATTACCAAAACAGGAAAGCAAGTGACTGCATTTCAGGGGTTAGAAAGTATTTTGTACAAAGAGCCAGACTGTAAATATGTAAGAACTTTGGAAGAGGATGCAGGAAGTTTCAGGAGTTCAAGATCAGCCTTTGCTATGTAGGAAATTCAAGATCAGTCTGGCTACATGAGATATTGTTAATTATTATTATTTTTTTCTTTAGAAATAAGGGAGAAGGGGGAAGGAAGGGGAAGAAAAGTAAAGTATTTGCTTGACAGTTTTCAAACAACTTTACTTATAGGTAAAGCAGGTACTATTTTTGGTACATTTTATTTATAAAAGTAGGTGGGATTTGAGTTACAGGGATTGTGTGTTGCAGACTCCTAGAGCAGGAACGGGAGTGACAGATTCTTTAAGAGCTAATGGTGACAAGTTTCTGGACCCACATGAACATCATGAATCTATAGATTCATATTACCCCCAGCAGAATAGCAAACCCAAATCAAGGCTGGACATTTGACAATAAAGTGCATAACACTTTATTGAAAACAGATTTTAAAAATATCCATGGTGAGAAACAAGTTATTTATAAAGATTTGTAAATTAGAATCAGAATTAGTAGTAAGAGAAAGTAGTAAAAAATGATCTTGAAAACATTGTGAGATCATTATCAATGTAAAATTGTGTGTCCAACTAATCTATCTTTTGTGAATGAAAACGCAGTCACAGGTAACACGAGAAGACTTACTAAGAGGTCTACACTAAGATTTTTTTTAAAAGGCTCTTCTGGAGCTGGAGAGATGGCTCGGCAGTTAAGAGCACTGACTGCTTTTGCAGAGAGCCCAGGTTCGATTCCCAGCACTCACATGGTGGCTACAAACCATCCTTAACTCCAGTTCCAGGGGAATCCGAAGCTCTCTTCTGACCTCCTCGGCATTGCACGACACAGGTGCACTCACATACATGCAGCAATACACTCATACACATAAAATAAAAATAATAAATATTAAATAAATAAATAAATACAAGGCTCTTCTTAGCTGATCTTGTAGGGAGAGACTCTAGAAAGGCTGACTAAACCCTGGTGGACAAGCTTGCACTACGGGACATCTCAGGACACTAACTTTACATGATAGTCCTTAGTACAACAGAATGTATGAACCCCCATGGGGAACGGGGGCTATGGGAGGATGCCAAAGGGGAAGAGGGTATAAAGATGATTTTATGTATGAAATACACAAAAATTCAATAAAAATTTTATTTAAAAAAGGCTCTTCTTTAATATTTTAGGAAATAGACCCTGTATTAGTTACTTTTTTTTGTTGCTGTGATAAAATGCCCTGACCAAAATCAGCTTAAGGAAGAAAGGTTGTTTGGGGGGACAGTTTCAGAGGGGGAGTTCATATGATGGGGAAGGCGTGACAGCAGGAGCAGAATGCTGGGTTATCACATTGCAGCTGCACAGAGGAAGCAAAGAGTTTAAAAGCAGAGGGTTTAAAACGTGAAAGCTCACCCCCAGTGACATACTTCCTCCACTAGGCTCCATGTCCTAAAAGTTCCAAACCTTCTCAAACATGACCACCACCTGGGGACCAAGTGTTCAAAGACATGAGCCTGTGGGAGACAGTTCTCATATCTCCAAATTTCAGGCATTTTATTACTTTAAATGGAAGAAGCAATCTAGATGAAATAGAAGGTTGGTCAATATGCTTCTCTATAGGCGTAGCCTATTAAATAAAATTGAAAGCCATACTTTTGTAGTTGAGTTTGTTTTGGTTTTTATTTCATGTTTTTGTGGGTTTTTTTTTTTTTTTTAAAGACATGATATTGGGAGGGTGAATGTTGAGGGTTGTTTCTTAGTTTTGGATATGAACTGGAAATGAGGGTTATGTTGCTCCAAGTAATTGGTGTAGATGCTCCAATATCTTTTTATTATGTTTCTTTATTATTTATTTTTTTGGAAAGGATGCCTTCTAGTGATTAATAGTTAAAGGATTTTGTTCTGTCTTCTATACCTAGATAATATATCTATATTTAATATATATATGGTGTATGAGTGTATTGCTTGTATGTGTGTAAGTGTATACATGTCGTGTAGTGCCCATGGAGGTGAGAAGAGAGCGTCAGATCCCCTGGGACTGGAGTTAGGACGATTGTTAGCCTCCATGTATGTACTGGGAATCGAACCCAGGTCCTCTGCAAGAGCAGCCAGTGCTCTTAACCATTAAGGCATCTCTTCAGTCCTGAAAAATTGATTTTAAAAGATCAAAGTTGGGCTGGAGAGATGGCTCAGCAGTTAAGAACACTAGTTATTCTTTCAGAGGACCCGGGTTCGAATCCCAGTGCCCACGTGGCAGCTAACAACTCCGTAATTCCAGTTCCAGGGGATCTGATGGCTTCTTCTGTCCTCTGCGGGCATTGCACAGCATGAGTGCACTTAACTACATGCAGGCAATACGTACATACACATAAAAATAAAAATAATAAATATATTTTAAAAAAGATCAAAGTCAAAGACCTTAAGCTGTGAAATGTTCTGTGATTTAAAAGCTATAAGAAGCTATTGAAGTCAAATTGAATTGGCCCCATCTTAAATAATAAAGTGATTATTTTTCTAAATTCTCTGAAAAATTGTAATTGCATATGTTTATGGGGTAACAAGTTGCGGTCACCACCAGTGGTGGCCGCTCCTCCGTTCTCACGGGCACTGCTCCTTCATTCTCATGGGCGTCGAGGCTGCTCCTCCATTCGCCCTGGGCTGAGGCTGCTTTTCTGCTCGCCCGGCGCTGAGGCCACTCTTCTGCTCGCCCGGGGCTGAGGCTGCTCTTCTGCTTGCCCGGTGCCGCCTTCTGTCATTTCTGCTTCTGCCTGGTCCCGGACTGCAGGGCTGGTGAGGAGACTGTGTCAGCGGAGTTGCATTCAGGCACAGGAGACCAGGTTCAGTGACACAGATCTGGTTTATTGCAGGAAGGCACAAGCTTATATAGGGGTAATGGTCCAATCACAGCACAGCAAGTAGGATACTTTATTAGCATAACAGGTTTATCATCCTATCACCTTACAGCAAGTAGGATACCTTATTAGCATAACAGGTTTAGCGTCCTATTAGCATAACAGACTTAACGTCCTATCACAGAATAGTGGGTAGGATGCCTTATTAGCATACTGGGTTTCAGATTATAGAGCATGGGTTCCTGGAAACCATGTGACCCTGACTGTTGCAATATCTAAGTGTTGCAATTTGGAATTCCAAAGGTGGTGATTAGGGAGTGGTGAGCTCTAGGCATCAGTCTCATGATCTGCCAATGGGAACAAATGTGGCTCCAGCTGTCAGGCCATTGCCTCGGGCCTGCTGTATGGCTGTCAATAAGACTTTCACCCTAGGCTCAAGCCTGTCTCCCACAACAAGTGATGTTGTAATTTCTGAATATAATGGAATAATTAAATTAAGCTAATTAATATGTCTGTTCTAATATTCATTACTTTTTTGGGTGATGCATATTGAAACTTTCAGTGATTTTGAAATTTACAGTTCATTTTTACTGACTATAATTGCCACCTTCTGCACTAGTAAACCTGAACATTTCATTTCTTTTTGTAATTGAGGCCTTCTACTGTTGTCTTCACAAATTCTTCCTACCTCCAACTAATAACTTTGAATGTGTATTCTGTGGGCTAGAAGTTTTCATTTAAGTCAGAATTTGATGTCCCAATAATGGGAGAGAAGCATCTGGGAAGTATTTATATGAGAAAGAAAGATACTGTCATCACAGTAAGTAGCATTTGTTGAGCATCAACTCTATGTTAGGTGTGGTGCTAAAACTTTCTGGACGGTTTTGAGTTGTTCAGAAAACTCCCCCTGAATTTGAAGTACCCCGCCCCCCACACACACACTTTGAATTTCTTATTGTCTCCATTTTGTAATGAAAAAAATTAGGAAACTGAGGCTTAAAGAAGCTTGACTACTTTATGTTGTATGGTTATAAGTAGCAGAGCTGGAATTGATTGAGCAGGGCACTTGGTTCTTAAGATGAAATTGCCTCATGCACAAGGTTCTCTGGGACCTCTGTTCAAGAGCAAGTTTGTACTTCTTTTGTGCTTATTATATATATAATATTTGTATGTTTTCTGAAGTTTATACTGTGCACAGAAGAGTTAAAGATGATATTCAAAGTATGGGACTTATGAGGAAGATTTAACTATGAAAGGAATTAATCCTGTTGTATGTACAAGGTTTGCAGATAACACTACTTCGAAACAAAGCTGTCATGTTGAATTAGAGTAGTCTTAAAATGTAGTATTTCTAAACATTTTTGTATGTGGCAAATGTTTTTAAATTAGAATATTCTTTTTTTGTTTTCTAGTAGAAAAAGTGAAAGAACAATTAAAACTTTCCTTGGAAAACAAGAATGGCATTGTTCAGACTGGCGAATTGACAGTTATACTTGATGGATTGGTGATTGAGCAAGAAAATCTAACAAACCACAGCTCATCTCCAACCAGTAAGCTGAGCTTACATGTTTTTAATATTTAAACCAAAAGAATTGACAAGAAATATATAAAAACATAGTTTCTTTCTTTCTTGTTTAGTAGAAGTACAGCAAAATGGAGATGCCTTACACGATAATGGAGACCCTTCAGCAAGGACAGCTACAAGGTAGATGCTTTATTTTAGTATTTATGACAGAATGGTGCAATAATTTCCAAGTATAAACTTTGTATTTTTAACTTTTTTTAGTTTTTTTGTTTGTCTTATATTCATGATCCTCCTGCCTCAGCTTCTTAAGCAGTAGGATTATAGGTATAAATCATCACATCTGGCTTTAAGTATGAATATATATGTTAATATAGTTTTATGTATTTGGGTGGGAGATAGAGGAGAGGAGTCAGGATCTTATGTAGCCCAGGCTGACTTCAGACTAGCTATGTGGTTGAGGATGATTTCGAACTTCTGATACTCCTACCTCTATCCCCCAAGCACTGGGATTAGAGGTATATGGTACTACACTTGGTTTAGAAGTTTCAAATTTTAACCTTAGTTTAGTATTTGCCACAAAATTTAAAAGTTTATATATGAAGATGTTATTTGTTGAGTACTTGGGAAAGGAGCTTTAACAATTTTATTCAGATTAAATACACCATAAAAATTACTATGGCATTTCATATAAACAGATTCTTACAGTATGTAAATTTTTATGAGTGGCTTCTTTTTAAAAAAAATATTTTATTTATTTTTATTTTATGTATATGAGTGTATTGCCTGCATGTATGTGAGTGCACCCATGTCATGCAATGCCACGGAGGTCAGAAGAGGGCTTCAGATTCTCCTGGAACTGGAATTAAGGATGGTTTATAGCTGCCATGTGGGTGCTGAGAATTGAACCCAGGCCCTCTGCAATAGCAGTTAGTGCTCTTAACCGCTGAGCCATCTCCAGCCCCATCAGTGGCTTCTTTTACCTACCAGAATGTGTCTTAGTTCACTTATGCTGTAGAATGTATCAGTGCTTCCTTTTTCATTGAAAATGCTCTTTCACAATCAGTATTTACAGTGTATTGGTAAATAGAATCAATACTATGAGACATCTTAACTGGTCTGACTTGGCATTCTCCTGTAGATCACAAGATAAATGCTCTACAGATTATAGTGTTCCTACAAAATTCATCCTGCCATTTCAAAAACTCCCTGCCATTCACATTTTGTGATAGTTGAAAGAAGGTCCCTCTCGAAACATTAAGAGTGTGTAATTGTTCAAATATGGTAGAATTAAAACTGAAAATGTAAAAGTATTGGTATAAAATTGGCTTGGTACATTGAACAACTATGCTATTATAGGGCAAAGTATAATCACTGCACTGTAGAGTGTTACTAATAGCATTAGTCTTAATTGCCATTTAATATTTCTCATCAAAGCACTTGAACAAAGCCAGGTCTGGTGGCACATGCCTGTAGTCTCTTATACTTGGAAACCTGAAACAAGAGGATAGCAAGTTTGAGGCAGCCTGGGCAGTGTAGTGAGACCCAGTCTCAAAATAAAAGTTTTTGAGAAAGTGCCAGGAATATAATTCAATGGTGAAACATTTGCCTAATGTGTGCAATGATTTAGGTTTGATTCTGAGTGTCATTAAAAAAACAAACAAGCAAACAAACAAAAAAACATTTGAAACTATGCCTTCAGATTGTATATTAACTCAGTCAGTCTCCAGATTATGGCATACAAACATACATTGAGAAAAATTAATGACTGAAACAGCATAATAATTAGTTGATTAAAATGTATAATGTGTGACATCTGTGTTTTTATTTTCTTTAAAGTACAATTTTAAATTTGTAAAGGAGCCTAAAACTTAATATTATGCTGGATGCAGTGGTCCATGGCTGTAATGCCAGCACTGGAGAGTCACAACAGAATTGCTACAAGTTTGAGGCCAGCCTGGGCCATAAAGCAATTCCAGGCCAGCCTGGCCTATTATAGTAAGACCCTGTCACAAACAAACAGACAGACAGACAGACAGATAAGCAAACACCACCAAAACACCAAAACTTTATATTGTTTTATTACATGATAACACATCATGTTTTAAAAATCAGTTCTACAGTATTAGGAGAATTTCAAATGACTTCCCTTGCTTCAACTTCTGGATCACTGATTCTTTCTAGATGATGAAGGAGTGATGCATACAGCAGAATTATTTGGAACTTTTTTTTAGACCCTATTTGTCTAAACTGCCTAAACACACCTCATTTTAAATCTATAGGTGACAGTAGAGAGGGGTATGTCAGAGGTACTGAGTGCAGGTTCAGGGCCAGATACAACCGAGCACTAAGAATTCAGCCTTCTTACAATGAAGTTTACACTGTGGTGGGATAGACATTGACATTTCATTACAGAAGAAACAAAAAGTCTAATGGAACATATTGATAACAATTCTGCAAACCAGGCGTAGTGGCACACACTTTTAATCCCAGCATTTGGGAGGCATAGGCAAGCAGATATCTGAGTTTGTGACCAGCTTGGTCTACATAATGAGCCCCAGGCCAGCCAGGGCTGCACAATGAGACACTCTTGCAGCATACTCCATTCCAAAGGCCAAAAATGTCAAAAGTATTTGGGAGCTCTTATCTAATCCTTTAAAGATTTTAGGGTTACCACTTCAGAGGGGGGAATGTTAGAGTAGCCAGAAACCCCGTAGAGGAGGAGGAGGAGGGGGAGAGGGAGGGGGAGGGGGAGGAGGGTACATGAAGTTATCAGAAAAAAGTGATGGGGAGATATGGGGGGAGTTAGAGGGGAGGGAGTGGGCATGGAGTTGATCAAAACAACTTATATGCATGTATGAAATTCTCAATAAATTATTTTTAAAAATTATGGAGTCAATGAAGCAGGACAAGTGACAGGAATGAAGAGGAGCATGCTTTAAAAGGAGGTTACCAGGGAGTCTTAGCTGAGAAAGTGCTATTTGAACATTCGAGGGAGAAATAGAAAGTGCTATTTGAACATTCAAGGGAGAACATTCAAGGGAGAAATACAAAGTTAAGTTCAAAGGCCTGTGTTTATTTACATTTAACTTTATATTCTGCTAATTCTTCTAGCTCTAGAGTGCAGTATGTGGCCCTTTCAGCTTTTCTGATAATCATATTTTCCTTATATTTTTACTGTCCAGCATATAATAATTGGGAATATCTTGTTATAGACTTATTGTTGTGGTTTTCCTATTTAGGAAAATTCTTGTATTTTTTTTTTTTTTTTAGCAAGGTAAGCAAGAAATGGCCTGGAGAGAAATAGTTTAGAGATATAGCAGAGGTAGGAATGGGGCTGATTTTAAAGCAGCACTTAGGTCACTCTGTGATGTGGGATGGCCTCTGGATTGGGAAAGCTCTTCTTACAACTTCCGTGCACGCCTCAGCTCCTATCCTAGTCCTACTGCCGGTGGACTTAAAATGTTTGATTTCATAGTTATATTTTTTACTTATCTGTAATTTATGTACTATGAATTATACGATTCTGGGGAATAAGTTAGCTTTCTGTTATCATCCTGTACTCATAATTTTAGCACATAGTACATAATAATTTGTAATCAGTCTTTGCAAATATTTTCATCTTATTCTTCAGTGTTAAATACAGTTCCAAGTTTTGAATTGGTTTTTAGACATTTCATTTAATCTCATGGACTTTGTGAACCTACTTTCAAAGCATTTAAAGTTACCTAATATTCTTACTTAAAGTTTACAATTTGAACATTACTCTGAAGACCTGAGTACACTTGGGCTCAGCATATTTTGTGTAGTGTGGATACACCTATAACTGAAACAGTCTAAGCTTTAATGTAGTAAAGCAGGCCATATCTTTGTTCATTACTCTATCCAAAATTTCACTTGAATATTAAAAACTCAGTAAATTTTGCTTATGGAAATTCTGCTCATAAATTGTTGAATTGTACCTAACTCATTGAAGTAAGATTTATTTTTTTCTTTTTAAAGGCTGACTGTTGATGGTACTAATGGCATAGATAATCATGTACCACCAAATACTGTTGTTGCAAACTCATGCTGTTCGTGTGTAGTTAATGGAGAAAACATACCTTCATCTCCATCTCAGGTTGCCTCCAGACCTAAAAATACACCAGCTCTCAAACCACTTACATCTGAGCCTGCCAGTGATACAGGTAACCTTGGCTGCTTAATGACACATTGTTTGAAAGAAAATTAAATAGGTTTATGTATTTATTCCTCTGTTTCCTTTGGCATGCTATCTTTCTTAATTATCTGTTCTGTAATATAAATTATAAAATTACAGAATTTGAAGTTTATTCTTTAAATTAAATTTTTTCTGCATTATTTAGGAAAGTATTACAAAAATAGTATAGAAATCACATTTTACTAAGCACTGGGTTATTCATAAAAAAAAGAGGACATGAAGGTGGGAGGAGTCAGGAATTCAGGGTGGATCTGGGAGGATTTAGGAGAGGAGTGAGGAGGGGAGAATATGATCAAAATACATTGTATAGAATTCTCAAAGAATTAATAAAAATACTGTATTTTTAAAAACTCATAGGTAGACAAAATAACACATTGTGAATACTCAACTTCCATTTGACTAATCTAAAAATTACAGTGTGTAGTTTTAAAATATAGTCTGAGAAAATAGATACAGAAAGATTAATAATTCCTTTATATCAGATAGAAAAGAGATTTGTCTGAGTACCACAGTTCTTTGTAATAAGTTGTGAATCCAATGCTTTTTAGCCTAAATTCTTTTTAGGATATTAGATAATTATCAGTTGTAACTATAATTATAATTACCCATACTAAAAAACCAGAAACTCCCTCATTTTAAAAATTTACATTTTTAGCAGGATTATTTTCTTAGGGACTCGCCAAAGAAGTTATAAAAATACTGAAACAAAACAAAAAGTCAAAACTTGTTCACCTATGTATGACCAAATTAAATGAACTTATTTGTTATATGTAGCTGTTTTTGGACTCAGGAGGGATGAGACAGGTCCATATGGAATTTGAAGGGATTGTTCTTACTCCTAAAATGTTTAGTTGTTTGAGTAGATTAGCAAAAGTACTTGTTGACCTTAGTTATTGTATATTTTAGGTTTGGGCATATTCAAATATTGATGAAATAGGGAGAAAGAATTAACTGAGGCTTAGCTCCATTGTAGAATCTCTTGTTTATGTTTTATAGCTTGTTAAATACTTTATAGACTCTATTGGGAGTAAATTCATTTTTCACATTCCCTTTATCTTTCTTTACCTGAAATTTCAGGGTGAGAATAAAACACACATGTGATAAACTGGAAATGAATGTTCCAACATAAATAATTTTCATTGCATTTATAATAGTTTTATGGAAACCCAGCGCAGTCTGAATGATAGTAATGCCTGTAGCTAACATCTTGTGCTGGATGAGTTCTAAACTGTATATCCATTAAACAGTTTAACTCACAGTTACTCTTTGAGATAGGTATTACTATTTTTTCCTTTTTTTTTTTTTTAAAGAACTGAAGCTAGAGAGAGTTCACAGGAAGTAGGAGATCTGTAATTAACATTAAGCTCCATGGCTTTCAACTTTATATATTACTTTATTATTCTTTTGATATCTATCTATCATCTATCTATCTATCATCTATCTATCTATCTATCTATCTATCTATCTATCATCTATCTATCATCTATCAATCATCTATCATCTTTCTTCATAGCTTCTCAAAGGGATTGCATTCCATTTTGTTTAAAAAGGCTTCTAGAACCTATTGTGTTGGTAGCAACCACTTAACTGGTATCTGTGTGAAAGCTCATTCCTAACTAGGAGAATGAGTTCAGGTATCTCTTCACCCAATGGGCAATCCCTGTCTCTTTAAAATGTAAGTACTAAGTGGTATTACTTTTTTTTTTTTTTGAGGGGGTGCTTATTGGGTATTGACCCCAGGGTCTTATAGATACTAGGCAAGCACTTTATCATTGAACTGTATCCCCTAGTCCCAATACTCCTTTTTCAAATTAGGGACTGTAAAATCAGCTTCTGCTGTTAGAGTTCAGTTAAGGGTGAGAATGGGGCTCACATATGCTCTCCCACTCACCATGAAGTCTTTGCCAGAGCTAGCTGATACTGGTGTGTGCTCTTGAACCTCTCAAACTGTGAGCTCGATAAAGCTTTCTTGGGGGCTGCAGAGATGGTTCAGTGGTTAAGAACACTGGTTGTTCTTGTAGAAAACCCCCATTCAAATCCCATCACTCACATGACAGCTAACAACTGTCCATAACTCCAGTTCCAGAGGATCTGACAGCCTCCGAGGGCATTGCATGACATGGGTGCACTTACCTACACGCAGGCCGTACATGCATACACATAAAATAAAAATAATAAACTATATATATATACCTTTCTTCTCCAAGAAGTTACCCAGCCTTATACTCGCTTTAGTAATGAAAAGTAAACTACTAATATACTTGTAATTCAAAGCTTATGAAATCACTGGAGATGTGTCTTTTTGTTATTTTATGTATGAATATTTGTTTTGTAACTTCATTTGATGGCCACGTTAGCAGAACTGTCATGAGTTATTTATAGTTTCCATTTATCGTGCTTGGCCCTAACCTGTTCTGGTACTAGTGTGGTATATAATGTATGTGCCATATTACTGTTCTAAATTCCATGACATGAATTCTGGAGTTGAGACAAATGATAACTTTCCACCAGAGTTAGTATGATACATAAAGCCATTCCCCCACCCATGTTAATTAAGAGGATTCTTTTGGCAAGTTTTTTTGGTATAAATATTATTTTAGAGTAAAATGAGAGGATGAGATAGTGAAAAGTACAGACTGAGCTCAGCTACTTAGCCTTTTAGCAGTGATGAAAATGTCCTCAAAGTTAGTCTCTGTATATATAAAAAGTGAGTGATAATTATCTTCCTTATAAGTCAGTTTAAAGGTTAAATGAGGTAATAAATAAAAAAAAGTCTGCCATAGTTCTTGGACAGTGGTATTTAAGAAAAATAGTCTTTCCACTTGAGTCCCCTCTCTAACTTCCAATATGAAATGACTTCTTCTAATATATAATTATTATTTATTAATAAAAGAGATGTGTTGGGCAGAACTGATTCCGTAAGTATGTTATACTTTCCCCTCACTTTTTATTAGGAATTATGAATACTGAGAAAACTGCAAAGGATTATACTGGAAGGTCCCATGTACCCGTCTCTACCGATGGTAAATCCTTATCTAACTATAGTCGACTATCAACATCAGGAAACTGACATGATACAAGACAGAGCCTCTTCACATTTAATCAGTTGTTACTTGCTTTGTATGTGAATGTTAGCTCCACTTGATTTCCTTATGGCTGCTTCATCTACCATTATCATCAAGATACAGAGCTGCCTCATGCTCCTCCATCTTTGCAGTCATGTCTACTCTAAAGCATGGATTTGTAAGGAAACTGAACAAACAGCTGTTTTTCATGGCAGTTTTTAAAAAGAATAAAATGGTAACTTAGTCTGTGTTAAAATAACAAAGTACCTGACTGAGACTGGGTAACTTACAAAGTAAACATATTTAGCTTACCATTCTGGAGGCTGCAAGGTCAAGATCCCTTAGCCCCCTTGCCTTTGGCGAGGACCTCATGTTGTATGGCATCATGGCCAGAACATATATTAAAGAGGAAATTCATCTGGCAACACAGGAAGCCAAAGAGTGACTAGGAGTCAGATTTAATGTTTTGTAACAGCTCACTCTCAGGAACTGACTGAGAGCCTATGGGAACTACCTTAGTCCTTCCAAGGGCTGCAACTCCAATGACTCAGCTACCCCCCTAAAAACAACCAAATCAAAAACTTTCCCTTCTGAAAATTTCCACCGCTTTTTATATAGCTTTCAATACTGAAACCATATTCAAATAGTCTTATTATTTCTACATTTTTTTCTACTTTATTGAAATAATTGTAACCCAAAAGTCATAGTGGCTGAAAGTGATTAAGGATATGTTTGTTGAGAAGTCAAATCCCCCTGAACAGGTGTCTGAGGTCCTGGGGGAGGATGAAGTAGGAGGATCTCTTGAGTGTAGGACTTCAGGGCCTAGGCAGCTTAGCTAGACTCTATCTCTTTAAAAAATAAAACTCAAAACCCAAAGCAATAGGAGGAAGTGAGATGTTTTACATGCATTTCTGTCATACCTGTCATAGTTTGATTCATGCTTACGTGTGATTATTCATACTCCTTCATGATCTGGGTGCCGATGCCACTATTTCTCTTTTCCTTCCTTTCATCTTTTCTGATTTTATTCAATCATGCTCATATCCACATGTCAACAAGTGTTTATTTTGTATAAACATCCCAGGCTGGACATTGCCAGGTATCTGGGCTCATATATTTCAGCACTGTTGACATTTCAAGCCAGATAATTCTTTGTCATTGCTTTGTCATTGGGAGGTGTTGCCTGTGCTTCTTAGGATGTTTCAGAGTATTCCTATTAGGTGCCAGAAACACTCCCTTCCCCAATTGTAACAGACATCTCCAGGCATCATTAGATATCTCTTGGGGTGAAAAAAAATCTCTTCTGCTTGAGAACCATTGTACACTACCATATATGAATAATGATCCTTCAAATCAAAGGTAGTATTGCAGCATCTTGATACAGTATTGACAGTGTTTGATAACTAATGTATGCTGAATTATGGGAATAATTGATCTCTAAGCTAGCTTTTTAAAATTCATAAACAAGGCCTTGGTGAAATGGCTCAGTGGGTAAAGGTGATGGTCTGAGTTTGATCCCTGGGACCTACATGATGGAAAGAGAGAACACACTCCTGCAGGTTGTCCTTTGACCTCCACATGTACATCATGGCATGTGTGTGTACACATGTGTTTAAGTACATGTACATAATAAATAAATACAATAATTAAAAATAAATAAAATTTATGGCTATATTTTAGAATAGCTTTAGATTTTTAGTAAAATTGGGCAGATAGTATACAGTTTCCTTCCTGTTCCATTTAGAGTTTCCTCATTAACATTTTGCATGACTATGTTACATTTGTTACTACTAATGAATCATTATGAATAACTTGTTATTAACTAAAGTATATAATTTATGCTAAGGTTATATTTTTGCATTGTACTAGCTATGTTGGTTTTTAGAATGCTTATTGCCGTGTATGCACCATTACAGTACCATTCAGAAAAGTTTGACCGTGCTAAAAATCCCCATGCTTTGCATATTCATGCATCCAAACCCCAAGAATCAATCTTTGCATTGTGTCCATAGTTTTGCCATTTCCAGAAGATGATATATTTGGAATTGTGCAGCATGCAGCCCTTTCACAGCAATGCTCTTCACTTAGCAATGTGCATTGAAAATTCTTCTGCTTTACAGTTTTTTAATTACTAAACGATACCTAATTTTACAGTGGTATCACAATTTTTTATCTGTCACCTACTGAAGCAGTTTGGTTGTTTGAGTTTCATGCAGTTAGGAATAAAGCTTCTATACATATTTATGTACAGGCTTTTGATGTAGACATATGTTTTCAACTTACTTGGTTTAGTGAAAAAGATTGGTAGATTGCATGATGCTTTATAGAAAATGTATTATAGCTTTATAGAAATTGATTAAACCATTTTCCAAGGTGGTTTGTACTGTACATTTCTGCCAGTGAAAAATGAAAATTTTTATTGTTTTTTATTTTTACCAGCTTTTGTATTTTAAAGAGAGTTGTATTTTCCAACAATATTGAATCTTCTCATCCAAAGATATTTTATTATCTGTCTTTAGTCATTTTACTTATATAAATATTTCTTCATATATGCCATGATAGTGCATGTCTATGATCTGAAGCATTCAGGAGGATTAGAAGTTCAAGACCTGCCTTGACTCTATAGTGAGAGCCTATCTCAAAAACAACCACAAAAAACAGTCAACCAAACAAAAAGCTCTCCAGCTCTAGTGATTGTTTTTGTTTTCTGCAGATAGACCTTGAATGTAATCTTGATGTTAAACTTAAGTATCATAATTTTGCCAAAATATTATAGTTGTATTTACTTGATTGCTTCTCTTTCTAGTATATTCTAAATAATCTCCTTTATAAATGAGCTTTACCATTTTCTTTCCAGTGTGTTTGCTTTTCCTAATCTTGTTACGTTATCAAATATAATAACAATATTGAGTCAGAGTGGTGATTGTGATCTTCCTTGTTTTGTTCATTGGTATTTTATTGAGCACTTTTTTAGTTTGTATTAGAAATCATATTGCACTTATCCTTTAATCAGTTACCATGATGGATTTTCTAACTTAATTCACTGATACTGAATCCTGCTTGATGCTGTTCTGTGGATTTTTTTTTTGTGTGTGTGTGATGATTTAGTTAGTGTGTGCTTTAAAAGGGTTATATTACCCTCACAAAATGGGTTGTTGAAAATCTTTTTCTTTCCTCATGGATTATAACATTTCAGATAATGCAGGAATAGTCTATTCTTTAAAGGCTTAAGGAGATTTCTCAAGAACCTGCCCCTTCTGGTGTCCAGTTAGGGGACAACTCTTCTATCACCTTTCACTTCTGCTCTGCTCTTTTAAATTTTCCCTTTTTAAAAATTAGTTTACTTCATGTATTTCAGATTCATTGCTATAAAGTTTTTGTATTATTTCAATTTTGCTTACATATTTTTCTTTTTCATTACAATCTTTGTCTTACCTGATTATAAGCTCATTGGGTATATTTATCTAAAATTCAGACTCCCAGACTCTTCTCTATAAATTTTCCCTAAAGAAATATGTACCCCTTATAGAAAACAAAAACGGAGAGCTATTTCCTCCTTCTTTCTTTTGTGTTGCTTACCAGGTAACCAGTATGGTAGTCTCAGACTGAAGCAAGTCGGAGTAGCCCTTGGCTGTCCTGTTTGTCAGTAGGAGCTAGCATTCAATGCTGTTTCCTGGGCAGAAATTCATTTTGGAGAAATTAGCTCAGTGTACTCTGAGCACCAGGCTGATACTAGACACTGCAGCACATTGGGGTCTCCAGGGCCACTTGTGAATCCACTTTGAGGGTAGGGTAACTATTTGGGAGTGGAGGTATAGACCCCATGCAGTACAACAGTTGTGACTCTAGCAGTCAAATTCCACTTCCCTAATTCCCTGCATAATCATGCATGCCCCCCTTTCCTCCCAAACTTCTTAAGCTAGCTGCCACTCAAGCCACCGAAGTCCTAAAGAGAAAATGAGGTCCACTCCCTTGTCATGACCAATTTTTCGCCACATGAGTATCCTTTGGATTTGGTTCAATAACACTGTCCTGGGACTAGACTGAGTCTCAAGGTAGATGCTCATTGAGACAGTGCGGCAGTGTTTACTCCAAGTTCCTGGGGGGGGGGGCAGGAAAAATGGAGAGACTGTTTCCCAAAGCAGGAAGTTCAGATGCTCCGATCTCAAGATGAGTCTCTCCTTGCTTTGCATATCCCACATCAGCTTCTCAAAGGCTGAGGCAGGAGGATTGCAAGTTCACGGCCTTCCTGAGCAACTTAATTAGACTCAGTCTCGATATTTTTTTTTTAAGTTTAGAATAGATTCCTGAATCTTTTTGTAGTCCCTTATAATACATAATTAATGCAATCATATATTTCTTACTGGGCAAAATAGTTTTTTTGCAATTAATCACCACTTACATATAAGAAAGTTGAAAGATACCATTTTAAAGTTTTCTGTGGCCCATGCGTATTTTCCTGCAAGTTGATAATTTGGAGGAAAGACATGCATTATCCTAATGTTGGTTTCTCTTTCTTGAAGTTAACATTATTAGTATATATGCTTAAATTTTTATTGTTTACTTACTTATCCTGAAAACGTGAGCTTTGAAAAACCATTCTTTATTGTCGGTTTTTTGTTGTTGTTGTTTTTCGGGCTTTTTTTTTTTTTCGAGGCAAGATCTCACTATGTAGCCCTGGCTGGCATGGATCTCTCTAGGTTGGCCTCAGACTCACAGAGATCTACCTTCCTGTGCTTCCCAAGGCATGCACCACTATGCCCAACTATTTTTTTGTTTTTTAGTATCTGATACATTGTTCAATCTGAATTAAGCCCTGAAGAAGTGTAATCAGTTGGTTCGGTAATTAGATCATAGATCATTTTGCTGTTTTTCCTTCTAGTTAATGGAGAATCATCTTCATCTATGCTAACTGATAATACTTCTGCCATGGGTACTCCACTACCATCTGAAGAAACCACCTCAACTTCACATTGCACTAGCACTACCATCGAAGATCTTCCTGTTCAAGAGATCCTGGCTTCCTCAGAACATAATGAATGTATTCCTTCTACCAGTGCAGAGCTGCTATCTGAAGCTCGGAGCCTAGTAGACCCTGACTCGGATTCTGGAAATAGTTCTATTTTTGACAAATTAAGGCAGCCAGATGGGAGTATGGAGCCTCTCCGACAGCAATCTAGAAACACCAGTACAGAATCTTTGCCCTCAGGGTATGTTAAAACAATTTTTTTAATGTTTGACTTCCATTCAAGTAGGAATTTTCTAATGAAATATGATCATTGAGTATGTATATGAAATGTTTCTTTTCTTTTTCAAAAACTTTTAAGTTGGAGCATTCATAGTATTTATTTGCTCCAATGAAACTACATTTTGGAGCTAAGCACAGTTGTTTCTCTAGTTATATGTAGTATTGAAGAAAGGGAAAAACCTGCTATGAATCTGAAAGACCCTTTGATTTGATTTTCAGTTTTTGATAAGAGTATCCATGACACACTGTCATAACCCCAGTTCTCTGGATTTCTGTGTGATCTGCTCTCCAGATCTCACCCCTGATAACTAGCAGTCTATTTCTAGCAATAATGAGTATTGGTGACTGTCATGTAACCCTCCAAAGGGCTCCATTATAGACTCAGGTTCTCATTGCTGCTTAGTTCTTCATTGTCAGTTGTAACTTTCCCTGTATTGTTATTCAGCTTTCAATGATTTTAAGACTGTTTGCTTTATTTTAAATATGACTTACTCCTTATTTTCACATGTATCTCAAATCTTTCATTGGTACCGATGATACTCATATTAATTAATTATTCATTTTGTCTATACCTTCAGGTTTACTTAGAGGTTGAAACCATGTACATACAATATAGTTTGAAAGTATTCTGATAAAAGTATAGGTACTGTTTTCAAAACAGCCTTCAGTAATTAGAATGTGACTTCTGGCTTTTGAATTGCCCTTCTAGGGGTCTCTAATTTTCCTTATTGCCTTTGTTTTCTCATTACAGTAATGTGTTCAGATTTCTTTTTTATCTTTGAAACTGTTTTTCGTCAGTGCTCTTTACTGGTTCATTTGATTTTACCCATTGCTTAATTGTCATTCCAACCTTTGAGCCTCCGCGTGAGTTTCCCTAGTGTTATCTTGTACTCATATCGCTTCAATTGCATCTTTGTATGTAGGACAGAACTTACTCTGAGCTTACTTTTGCTGCTTTCTGCTTACTGAATTCTTGTTGAGTATTAAATTATATGTATTTGTAGTTAATAAGGATAAAATATAGAAAAGAACTTTATAGACCAAGCCATTAGCTGGCTTGGTGGTTTATCACCGCCCATGTCAAAATTGATTTTGATTAGCAAATTAGGATACAATAAAACAAAATATTTGAGTCATTCAGAAATACAGTACGCCGTAAATATACCACCCCCAAGTGGTAGTTAGTATTTGTTCCAACAATATATATTTATGAGCCTTTCCTGGGTGAGTCTTCATTCTAGGCTCTGTTTGTACAGAGGGGTAGGAGCATTCAGTCTGCTACAGAGCTTATGTTTCAGCAGGCAGACAGGCAGGGTCTGTATAAAGCACTGATTCATAATGTCACATGATGGTACATTTTATAAAGTAGATGAAGAGGTAGGATAGTAGGCAGCTATCTAAGTTACTTACTTTCAGAAAATGAAACTATACTATTTTCTAGCTTTTTTGTTTTTAAATTTGGTCACAGTCTCATGTTAGTACAAATAGATTTTTATATTCATCAAGTCTTCGTTCAACGAGTATCTATTAAATATCTTGTCTGTGGCAGGCTCTGTGATATGTGCTGTTAATATATTTGTAAGCAAAACAGAATCCCAACTTGCATGGAGCTTATGCTCTAAAGATGTTACCTTAATTCTATTGAATGGTTTTCAGTATTTCCTTATATATTAAT